TGTAACATTACATTTGATCAGTTTGATTGTTGTAGCATTTCAGCTGAAGGCTGATCAATATCAAATTACCTTGAACAAAGTCAAGTCTACAGCACAGTTGGACCATTGCATTGTGTTGAAGGTAAAGACATAATTTGCAAGTACAAATCAATTGCCTTTTTCATTTGCTACCTCATCATCAAACTTGTACTTGATTCTGACGTGTGGCTTCAAATTTTGATCTGTTATTCTGGAAAAAAGAAATACAAACCACAGACCCTCTTCACCATTGCCACAAAACATGAATGTCACATGTATGAAGTAGTATTCTTTCAATAAATAATGTTGATCTTTGTTTGAGATATTTATAAAAATAATTTGCTAGGTCACATTCAGGCACAGAAAGGCCTGCAGTATTCTATGTGGCAATTGAATATCAGTCCATCTGAAGGTAAATGCATGTATACCAAGTTTTTCCATTACTAATTCAGCTGCTTGAGCACTTCTCCTCTGGATGTTCCAGACTAGAACATCAAACAAAGGTAAGACTGTGCAACTTCTTTTTTCCCATTAAGGCCCTACTGTTGGGGTCAGGTGAAACTTCCCCAGCCTGTGGTTTCTCTAGTGGGACTGGAGTTGAGGTTGTGCATATTCTTGAGATAAGATTAGCAATAAACACGGTTCTAAAAATCTTTTCAAACCCATTATAATGGTTTTAACGTAGCTTATAACTAATTTTAACACAAACTGATTCAAAACCATAGGACACTGAATATGGACTTTTCACACCACTTCACACACACCTCTGGGAAGTTGGTTTAGGCAGTCACTGCTGTCAGACCCATAATGATGTTTAAGAATGTTGCAGATCTAAACATAGTTTTAAGATAAACTGTCTATTGCTTTGTTAAAATAGAGTTTGGGTGCTTTATATTTCATAGGATTAAGCCTATCAAAGATATGTTTAATTATTCTCTTTCAGGTTCAACTATAGATAGGCCTAGCAAGCTTTTGCTGATAGAAAAATCAACCTAGGTGATAATTTAAGTCACTTTTTGCATATTTACTTCATGATGAACCAACGCTTCCATGCCTGAGTTTGACACATTCATAGTGAAACAGACTTCCTGGTAGAATCCTAGGTGATACAGTCATGTCTTTAATATAAAAATTAACCTTCTAGTTATTCAAACAACAGCTCTTCTGAAACATGAGATTACATCTGGAATGAAAATTGATTTATAATCAATTATGATTTACTGATTCATAATCAGTCCCCACACTATTTAAATCCCAACTAAAAATAAAAAATTATATTGTGTTCAGAATTATTACAAATATATTATTTGGTTTCTTACTCTCCCTCCTTCTCCTGTCCATTCACCTGTTGAAAATTCTGGATATGAATTTTTAATTAAATGCAATTCAGGTCCTTCCTTGTTTACTAATACTATAATTTGGAAAGTGTAGCATTCAGTGTGATGATGAATAGATGCTGGGGGGGAAGCATTTATCTTGGTAGTTTTGGTATGACATAGTTATAATCGCATAGATCTCCATTTCTAATTAGCTCTCCTATTAACATTTCACATTAATTCCTTTGATCATGTTGTTCATTAGCAAAACAGTCAACGGTCTCACCTGATAGCTTGTTGAAAAGCATCTTCCCAAACAGTATTCTTTCATATATCAAAGTGTTTTAAAAAGACTTTTATAAATGTTTCTGGTAGTTTTACAATTTTCCTCATACTTGCACTGGTAAGAGTGCAGGCCGTTAGAGCCCTGGAGCCTAGCACAACTTTGTTACAGATTTCAGCCTTCTTAAACACTTGTTGTTTTTCCAGGAAAAATTTGGAAGTATTCCAGTTGTTGGTTTAAATTCATCCCATCAAGCTTCATTTACTGAACTGTGAGGGGTAAGGTTTACTCTCAGTCATCTGAAGTCATTCCATTTATGACAGACATATGGGATAAACTGGCCTCTGGAAGTGCCTATGTCTCTCCATTTTGTAAGACTAGCATAATCAATAGAGAGAGTAGCACCTTCAGAAGGTGTTTTTTCTCATTTTAAGATTTAGATGTCTACAGTTAGGTAAGATGAGACTAAACACCTCTTTCTTCAATAGTGGCAATTCCCAATCTGGGACTTTAGGTATCAGACTTTTTGTCAAACATTTAGTTTGCTAACACTTCCTGATACAGATGACAAAATCAGAGGTGCTCTGAAGAAACAGGTTGTTTCTTCTGGATCCACATAAAATGAAACATGGCAGACCTCTGGAAGTTACACATTGCCCATCAAAAGCTGTGCATTGTCCACGGTCCTTGGTAGCTACACACAACATACAACCAATTTGATGATACTACACCTCTTCCCAACGCTCACACTTAAGAAATTAGGTTGGTGTCACCCAAACCTTTGTCATCTAATTTCTGTGTATCTTGCCCTATAGTTTTATATCACTTCTACTGCTATGCACTTTCCTAATATAAGGATTTAATAAAGGTTCTAGGGAAGGTTGGCCACTGCAGTTATTTCTTATCAGTATATTTCATTCCAATAAATAAATAAACAAACAAACAAAAAACAAGGGTCTGGAGTTGGCAATGTCATATCTGACACCTTCTGTTATTATGGCATCTTTCTTCCTCAGGTAACCTGGAGTTCGTTTTACACACGTCAAGCTGTAAATCAGAAGATACTAGATGACTCAAAAGCTATAGGGAACATAAAATTATGTGGCTTCAGTTTAAAGAATCACAGGCAGAGAGAAATTAGGGACGGAAGGTTTATTAAACTGCCTAGTTCAACCTCTGCCAGCATGGGATTATTCCCTGGAATGTATTTTACAGCACGTTATCCAAAATTGCTTCCATATGTGATTCTGCTCTGGAAAGAGCCTATTAAAGTGGTCTGGTACAGTGCCATTTTGATTGAATCAATGATTTCTCTCTCAGTTGCACAAAGTTTAAAGAAATATTTATTTCCTATCAGTTGAAGACATTCGGTCTTTCAATCATACACACTATCACTTGTAATAGATGTTCTGTGTGGAACCCTCACCTTTATTTGCATTGTGTAACCACATAATGTTTCAGCTCCCTCCTATTGCCTTAGGCATACTGTGATGCAGGAAAGAGGATGGAGGTAACAGCAGAGGTAAATGCTTTATCAGAGATAAAGCAATACAGATTCTTTGTATTACATACATGTACACTGAGACTTATAACATTAATACTGTATCTTCCTTCCACAGCTGCTTCTCTCTTATTTCTGAGACCACGGATTCTGAATCCTGACCTAATGAATCCTCCATTATTCTCAATTTCCTTCTGATATTATTACTGAAATTATTCAAATATTACTACCACTCTCCCAGAGAGACCTGCCTTTTAGCTTTAGGTGAAGGAACAGGTCAGTTACCTGAACCCTGAAGCTGCTGAGATTAATATTCTGTCTCACAGTAAGCTGGTTTGATATTAGTTTAGTGCCCCTTCAACTTCTCTTTGACTCAGTGTGACCTTTTCATTTTTCTCTTTGATTTTATTCATAGTTTTTTTCTTTCTCCATTTCACAGTTTTAAACTCAGAATTCCTTCTAGGACTGGAACATAACTTTGATTTTCTTGACTAGAGTGACAAAATAGGCCATACTTTTTTACTGGATAAGATTAATCTTTGTCAGTTGTATGGGGTTCATTACAGGCTTTATGTAAGTAGTTCTCCTTGCTTTATTATCGGTGTCCATGCTTTAAGGTCAGATGCAGGCTGGATGTGGGGGAATGACACTCATGCCTGCTGACTACAAGGAGCTGATGCATGCCCATCAGAGCACTGACTGGAACATCTCATCTGAGATCTTATGATTTTCAGCCAGTCAGCCATTTATTTTGTAATTTTTCGTTTCTGCCCATTATTTATCAGATTCCTGTCCTTTGAAAGTTTTGCAGCTCCTAATTTTTATGCTGATTCCAAAACAGTCCCAATTCTAATGACATCAAGCTGCTTTCTAATTATTCACAACCACAGGGTAGTATTACACTCTCACCACAGCCAGGGGATGTCAGCAGCAATGCCTCCATGACTTTAACACAAATCATGCTTTTTTCCTCAATCTTCTTCATTTGCCTGTCAACATTATCTTTTTTAAGGCTCTTCACAATGTCCTTATGCTGTTTCCACACTGTGGCAGGCAGGCAAGCACAAAGCATAACACAGGCCTTTTCTAGAAACCTGAATTGCCCCCTCAGCTTGAAGCCTTCTTGCAGACAGACTGTTCAGGCACTCTGGTGTGGTAATATGCTACCAAATGTATGGGTGTGGAGATCTGAGGGGCCTGAAACGTGCACTTAAACTTGTCGGTGCTTGCTGGCTCTCTACTGTATGACCAGTCAGGCTTAAAAATGCAGTGTAGGTTTAATGGTCATTGAATATAGATTCCCTGTCACCAAAGCAGAGTTACGTCTCTCCAGTTCACTACAATCAGCTTTTCTCATAATCACAACAGTATCTGTGGGGATGGAGTATTTATAGAAATCCTGATTCACACTTTCTCACTGTTTCCTAAGTTAAAGTGCATCTTGCCCGCTGTAAATTCTTCTCCCTCATCTTTCATATCTTACAAGAGAAAAATTAGCTTTGTCAGTCCTTATTCTCGCTGCAGGCTGTACTGCAGCCTGAGGCTTCCAGGTGCATTTCAGAGAGAGGGCAGTGTTGACTGCAGAAGTTTAACTTGCATTAAACAAGACACCCTGGAAACCTCAGCTGTATTTTTTACTCTGTCACAGTCTTGCTGAAGGACTGTGGCCAACTCCTGAGGCCTCTTTCTGTTTTGGTTTCACCATTTTTCACAGAAAGATTATATTGGCTTCTTTTATAAAATGCTTTCAAGCCTACTGAAGAAAAATATCCTGCAAGAGAAAAGTTATTATTGCTTGGATGATGCAGCCCTTGCTATTTTCTCATCACAATCACCGGAACAGAAGTGTTATATTGCTTCAGTGTCTTGTAAGCTCACTTACCTGATAGAGGAGGTTCCTACTAAGCATAGGAGTGAAGGGCTCAGAGTCATACAGGAGCCTCTGACATCTGCACCAGAACTGCAGTGGGTGTGCCAATACTAAAACTTTTTCAACTTCCAGCTTTCCAAAAAATGTATAGTCCAAGTATTTATTTATTTTTTATGCTGGAGGGGAAAAAAAAAGAGAAAATAAAAGTTGGGTAATTTCCATGTTGTACCATCTGTGATTTCTGATTTTGATCTGGTTACAACAGTAAACTTCTCCTGTTGTGCCACCCAAAAAGACTGGAAAATGTCCATTCTGATTGTTTTCCCTAGGCTATATTGAATGTTCAGCTCCCTGAGGATGAGGTGTACCAATGTAAATTTACTGTGATAGAGTCACACTGCTGCTGATTGTTGCAGAACTACCACTGAGTAGTAAATGCTTCATTGCTCTGTTACCCAGGGGGCTGAGCATTAACTACACTATTGAACAGCAAATGCTTATCATCCCCTATAATTCAAACTATATAAATCACTGAAGAGAGACAATGTGCCTGCAGGGAACTCACACAGTCTATAAAAATGTAAAAATCTGAACTATATTTAGCTGACAGAGCTATACTTTAAAAAAAAAAAAAAAAAGGAGTCAAAAGATAAACTTAGACATTAATCTCATCTTCATTTCAATCTACTGACGCTTTGGTGGATTCTAATCTTTTCTGTAAACATTTTCATCTTTAACAATATTTAAAAAAAATAAGGTTAATAAATAAAAGCTATTAAACTTTGTGTTATCTCTCCTCCAACCATTTATGCAGTATATAGAATGACCTATTTTAAGCCCATCCTTAGAGCAAAGCAAAACATCAACATTTTTTCTTCACTGAACAAAACCATCTCTACTTTTCTTTAAAAAAAAAACCAAAACAAAGAACAAAAACTAATAGAAGGTTTAAAAAATCCTGGTTGTAAAACATGTATCCATTGAAAGTAGAAGACACAGATCCCTTTTGTTTAAAGACATGGTTCTTCAAATACTGCACTGAGAGAAAAAAATAAAGTTAAAATATTCCTCCAAGGAACTGTACTGCAACTGAGGACATAAACTTTCATTCCTGGTTAAGCAAACAATCTGAAGTGGACACAGGTAGTTCCATTACTGTCAATGAATTACTCATGTCTGTGAAGTTAAATACACATGAGCATTTGAAGCATCAAAGGACTTTATAATAAGATGGTGCTGCATATTCCTTAACTTGTACATAAAATCTGTTTCTTTTGGCCTCAACTGTGCAATAACCTCTGGATGGGCCTCACCAACCCTCCTGTAATTATCACGGACTGATTATGCAATTTACTGCAGAGCTGAGGCCTTCAATACTATTCTGCATTAGAAAACAAAACCATCCCCAAATGTCTATTGATACAGAAATAAAACATGGTAACCTTTAATATACAAATGCAATTAAGCAGAAAAATAAAGAACAAAAACAGATGAGAAAAGCCTCAGGGGAGCACTGGTATGGGACTTTCTGAGCTCTCCATGTAAAATTTAGAGAGCTGATGAAAGATGTTTGAGAGCAGAGTTGGAAAATGATCACAAGCAATCAATGTTTCAAAGAGGTCAGAATCAAAATCAAATAAAAATACTTAAGCTTTTGTTATTAATCCATGGACAGTTTAGTAGTTTCCTACTACTATCCCCCATGAAAATGTTCTAATGAAACAAAGAAGATTTTGAAATTTTAATCTTATAAAAGATTATTTCATCAATGATCTATATTCGATTTTTTTTTCACTACATAGAGAAAATACCTGTAAATGATTAGCATGGGTCTCTTACCATAGTTTGAGGCTGAACTAACCAATAGTAATGAGGGATTTTAAACAGAATATAATTAAGCAATGTAAACATATTTGAAATACTAAAAGAAAAACATGAGGTACAGTTTAAAAACTGGTTCAGATGAATTTAGACAACCAGAGAAGAGTTCTCCGAGCACAAAAAACAATGTGCATATAAGATTACTTTGTATGAATGTAGCAAATAACATCAACATACTTCGAATGTGTTATCAAGAATAGAGATAAGAGTTTTTCTGTGTATATTCATCACGTGGCTTGAAGGTGTTGCTTTGAGTTGTCTTCATATGAAAAGAAAATAATTAATCAAAATCAAGGAACCTCAGAGAAAACCAGTAAAATCTCTAAAGGTCTAGACTTCTAAAGGCAACTGTTTATGAAACACCCAGTGGCATCATCTTCTGTGTATTATATGTTCATTAGGACGTCATCACTGAGAAGAGAGCAGAATATACTAAGAAACTGTAGTGAAAATTTCTTAATTTGTGATCAATGGCAGAAAATGAATGCGATACAGCAGTAGTTTATTATTCTGGCAAAATGAACACTTACAAGTAATCGTCCAAAATGTACACCAGCTGCAGAATTCCAGATGAAATTAAGATGTTAATCCCGCAGGACTACTCAACTGAAAATGAGCTCATGCTTCAGTATTTTCAGATCAGAGCCATATGCTGTACACTAGGACATTTGCAGTATTAGTACCTTACAGTAAATTAGTACTTTACAGTAAATTAGTACCTTACAGTGCCTACAGTCAGCAAATTTCTGTCATTTCCCTTTGGAGATAACTCTGAAACCTGGTTTAGCCATATGTGATATTATTCTAATACTAAGCTGAGAGTATCTTCCTCTTTTGAATAATCATTAGACATCCATAACTTTAGGTGCCTGAAAAAAAATCTGGTGATGAATAATCTCATTAATTTTAAAAAAATTTCTCCTGATGCTATTCATTAGTTAGTGCAAACTGCTGCACTGCCACCATTGGAAATGGAGGGGTGACATTTCACACCAATGAGGATTTTCTAGGTAGCCTACAGCGATAAGCATGTGTGTGAATACTGCTATAAGCATGGCTCAGGTGTAAGCAGTCCCTTCCTCTTCTGGCATATCATGAAATCTTATGCATTATAATCAGATCTTTTAGTTTATTTTGCTCTTAAATCTTTTTAGCTTCCCCTTGACAAAAAATAAGTATCTGTAAGTGATAAAAAATAACGCTCTTAAAAATTAACCTCAATTGCATTATATTCGAGACCCACTATTACACTCCATGTTCATTATGTCCAACCTAAAAAGAATATTAAAAATCTCATTATTTTGATGCTGACTTTTTTACTCAATTATTACCACAACAGGCAGATAATCATTATGCTGATTACTCAAGACTGAGTTGTAAATAGCTCATGTGGGGGTTAATAATCAGATAATAACAGCAAGCACTGGTTCTGTATAATTAAGTCAAATGACATGATTTATACTAGTGCAAACCTACCTCCAAAATGAAGCATTTTATGATACTATTGTCTTTCCAAATAGCCCTACACTTTACAAGCATACTGTATATGGAGGTTGCTTAAACTCTAAAATTTTTGGCATTCATGAAATGTGAATTGAATGGAGACATTTTGTTTCAAAATTGCAACTATGTATTTGTTGTTATTGTTGGATACAGTTAATTACAGTTCCTTTTGCAATAGCCCACACTTCACAGAATCACAGAATGGCTGAGGTTGGAAGGGACCTATGGAGGTGGTCTTGTCCAACTACCCTGCTCAGGCAGGGCCACACTTATTGATTGCCTCCAGAAACTCTGTCACCTGTGTGTCATAATATCCCTGTAGGAACATGCTGAACTGGTAATATGGCCAATAGCAAAATTGTCATAGATTTTATAAGAATAATATATAATTTATAACATACTTTCTTTTGTTAACTCATAATTGGAAAGAAATGTTAGTTGCCATTTTTAACTTTCAATAGTCATGTAAGCACCAGGAGTACTAGGTGTAAAACAAAATCAGGAATCATCAAATCACATGAAAATTTAAAACAATAAAAGGGATGGCTTTCTCAAGCTATAATCATTCAAGGAATAGATAATTATTTTTAGATGAATATTATAATCTATATATAACTAACTAATGTATAACTAACTTATATTGCTGCCTTCATTAACTCAAAACTCTCTTTTTCAACTACATGAAATTAAATGGTAAGATGTAAGAAACATTTCCTAGGTATAAAGGTTCTTTTCTTATTGATTACTTGAGAGGAGTTATGAAAGCTACTAACAGATTTACGTTTTTGCCGAGGGTTAGATGTGAGTCAACATTTCTCAGTTTGAGACATAACTTACTTCTTAAGTAGTCCTACTGACTGAAATGAATTTTTTGAAAGGGGTTGGTTTTCATTTACATGACTTCTTAAATGTCGAAAAATTTTATTAAATATTTTTGAGGTTTATTTGTCTTTAAAGTGTATTTTACTTTGTTTCCCTGTTCTTTTCTGTCATGTGTTTTTCCCTAAATCATTTTATTCTTATCATTTTGGTATGACTGCACAGGCCTGGAGGCAAAGGGATAGAAGTGTAGGGGTATGAGAGGCCACCTTCCAAACAGGAGGATTTCCTCTAGTTGTTACTTATTTAGCTACTCTCTCAACTTTCAGAAGTCCCTATAGGGCTCTGCCTTAACCTATTTAGCCAGAATAGGGTTGCAAAATTAGTCAGATGCAGAATTCATTAAGGAAATTTAATGAAAATCCCAGGACAGACAGGCTAAATAAGGCTTTAGGACTTGCTATCCTCTCAGCATCAGCATTCATTCTACCTGTATATTTGTAAAAGCTGTGGTTACCAGTGACATTAGGTTGGTTCCAGCATCACATTTCAGGTGATAGGTTGGAAAGCCTTGGCGAAAGAACAGCAGAGATCAGTGATCACTGCAGGGAAGGTTCTTTATCCCTCTCCAGCCTAGTGTCTAGGGGAATATATGGAGTATAATATTTTTCCCTCATGTTTACTGTACTGCCAGGATACCAAGTATCTATGAATTGGATTGTCAATATTGCTGGAGATACATGATTAAATGAAGTTGTATAAAATGCGTACTTAAACTATATACTGACAGCTTTCCACTTGCCACTTCACTTACATAGCACAGCATCTCAGCAGTGAACATCAGAGTTTGCCCATCAGGATCCTATGCCTCATGAGCTAAGCTTTTTTATCAGTTTTACAAACTTCTCTGCTTTTTCTACTGTGCATTTTTCAACTGTTTTCCCTTATTTTAACAACTCCGGTCTGATTGAAA